TTATCTTGGAGGAAATAAGCAAGAATGTACAGCTTAACATATTCTCCAGGGGTGGGGAAATTGGTTTGTATTATTTATTAACTGGAATGAACTCTACATGCAAGGCACTATCTCAAAAAAAGCTATCTTGAAACATGTTTCCTCAGCCCAAAAATGCACTTAATTTTTTTTTTTTAAATTTCCTTTTTTTAGTGTACTGCACAAGTATCTGAGGCCTTCCAGAAAATTGACAACATGATCAGTGACCACCAGACTAAAGACTTGGTGAAGGATTTTCGCTCCTGTGGATCCCTATCTGAGCCCAATGACCAAATGGTCTTTGTTAACAACTTAGCAGGAATTTTTATGGGAGTGGTGCAATACAATAATGAAGTCCCTGGTATAAATGTCAAGAAACTTTGTGACATAATGACAGAGTCAGGTGACTCCTATGGCAATCTACAGAAAATAAGTCAGGTAACACCCATATACATGCAAAGGCCTAATTAAAATGTGTTTTCTACCCATCTTGCTAGCCAAGGAATTCTGAAATGCTACTCTTGGAGCTCCTCATAAACCCTTGGCATACAGCGCTGTGCTAAGACAGTATTGTTTTTGTCATGTGTTCTAAAATTTAGTACAGGTATGCACAAATTGTGTCATCAACAGAAATAAATAATATATTTAAATCATGAAAGCTTTTAAAGCAATATGAGCTGCATGTTTGACATTAGAAAATTTTGTTGCAAATTTGTAATTAACTATTTCAATGACAGAAAAATGAAACATTAACTCGAGCAAAGCTCGTTGCAAAGCAACGAGTAGGTCTTCTGTCCTGTTTGACCGGAAGTAACTTTTATTTAAAAAAAAAAAGAGAAATGATGTCTCTAATGATTTAAATCTTCCAAATCTATGTTGAAAATTGCAAAAGTAAGCCATTTTTTGCTACTTCCTGTTTGACCGGAAGTGATGTCAACGGACAAAAAATTAAGTTTCATGCTTCCAGTGACAAATATTTCCCCAAAACATGTCAAAAACGGCAAAAACATGCAGTTTCGGACTACATCCAGTTTGGCCGGAAGTGATGTCACAGGATGTATTTTGATGACATCAGTAGATTTTACCAGAGATTTTCAACAACTTTGCTTCTTTGATGTATAACAAATTCTCAATACTTTTTGAGATATCTGGAAAAAACTTTTGGCCCCTCTAGATGCCTTAATTTAGGGGTCAGCCCTTTTTCCGAGATATCATTTGAAAGATCTTCTAATTCTGCGCAAATTATGTTCTATATATTTTAACAAAATATTTTTAGTTTAGAAGATAAAAAGCAAAATATGAGTTATTTTTGGCTCTTTTAAGCATTCTAATTTTTGACCCCTATATAGGGCCATTTTGAATAGAGAAATGGAAAAACAAAAACCAATGTGCACAACTTCAATCCTTCTATTATCTAAAATCAGTAGAATTTCTGCTCCAGCTTTAGCCGACTCTGAGCCTTTGTCTGGAAACGAAAGCCTATAAATTTTCGTTTCCAACGGAAGACCTTAATAAACTTCTGTTGTTCATATTTGCGATGGAAATTTTTATGCCCCCCTTCTAAGAAGGGAGGGCATATTGCTTTGCTGCTGTCCGTCGGTCTGTCGGTCCATTTAGTTTCCGTTCATTTTCTTTACAACCGCTGCATATACTGAAATGAAATTTGGTATACAGGTTTATCAGGTAAATATCTAGGTCAAGTTCTGTTTTGGGTACGATCACACCATTTTTGACAGAGTTATGCCCCTTGGACTTAGAAAAATTCCATTTATTTGCAGTTTCCGTTCATTTTCTTTGCAGAGGTTGTACATATTGAAATGAAATTTAGTATACAGATGTTTCAGCTGAATATCTAGGTCGAGTTCTGTTTTGGGTTTGATCGCACCTTTTTTGATAGAGTTATGCCCCTTGGACTTATAAAAATTCCACTTATTTGCCGTTTCCATTCATTTTCTTTGCAGAGGTTGCACATATTCAAATGAAATTTAGTATACGGATGTTTCAGCTGAATATCTAGGACAAGTTCTGTTTTGGGTTCGATCACAACCTTTTTGTCAGAGTTATGCCCCTTTGACTTAGAAAAATTCCAATTATTTGCACTTTCCGTTCATTTTCTTTGCAGAGGTTGCACATAATGAAATAAAATTTAGTATACAGATTTTTCAGCTGAATATCTAAGTCAAGTTTTGTTTTGGGTACGATTGCACCATTTTAGACAGAGTTATGCACTTTTGGACTTAGGAAAAATCCAATTTGGGGGGAGGGGGGCATAAGTGTTTTACAAACATCTCTTGTTTTTGTTAGCTTTGATTGAAGCAAAATTGAATTATTGTCGTCCTGTACAATAATGATTTCTTATATAATACTGTATATTCGGTTGTACAGAAATATTTCTTCTGAAACATTTTAAAACTTTATTTTGGTCTTATTGATCATAAGGGTTTAAATTACATACAAATTAATCATAATAACACATTTTACCAGCAAAATAAAACTTTCAAAAATTCAGCTCATATTGCTTTAAAGAATAATTAACAGAAGGTATTGATTTTTCATTTGTTATTTAAATCTACGTGTCCAATATTGATTCTAATTCATATATTTCCATATCTATTTGTAGAATAACGTGATCGTTGTTTACTTGTGTTGTAAAGAGTCAAAATATGTCCCAAACACTGATATCTTCATTTACAAAAACAACTGATGATTGGTCGATCAATGTTGATCTACTCCAATCAAAAATTGAGAAAAAAAATTCAGACTTTTTTAACACTATATGTAAAGGACTTATGAGGAGAGTAGTGTATAATGAGAACCCCTTGGCTAGCAAAGATGTTTTCTACCTTTCAAATGGAGTTGACTTACCTGTGTTTGGTTGACATTGATGTTATTTAAGTTGGTAGTTATTAATGCATATTTGGAGATAACTATTTTAAACATTAATTATTTGGGATTTTTTTAAGTTACCATAAAAAATAAATAGGAAATTTATCCTTATTTGAGATTGTTGAAATTGAAACTGTTTTTAATTGTTAACTTTTTTTGGTGTTTATACATACTGTGTATTTCATTAATTTATATACAATGTACCGGTAATCATTTAATCTGTAGATGATGATGATGAAGACCAACAATAAGAGTTGTGTTGACAATACCTACTCCACTTTCTTGTCAATGTTTATTAATCAGACCGTAAACAGAGAAGCAGTTGGGGCCGGTATAAGACAGTGGATCTGGCAGACCTGCTCACAGTTTGGATATTGTAAGGCACTGTTTTCGTTATAAGTTTTATGCCGTAATCAAAGCTTATTAGCAAAGGCCTTTTGGAATTATATACAATTCATGTAGACTTTGTATGATTTTTGTTGAAACTTTTATCTCTGTACATGTAATGGACAATATATACTGGTAGGAACTTTCACATTAGAAAGAATTTAATAAAAAAAAAAAAAAAAAGGATCACTCCAAAAGTACGAGGGGTTATCAAAAAATAAAAACTTCGAAGCTTCATCAAAATCCAAAATTATGATCATGATTTCTAACAGTGAAGATTTTTTTTTCAGATCAGACTTGTGAAGATGGAACTAGCTGTCCTTTCTCCAGACTTCTGACCCTGGAATCGAATCTCATCATCTGTAAAGACGTGTACAAAATCTCAGAGAACATGGTGCCTAAGTTTGTACAGTTCACCAATGACTACTACGGCGCGAACCATCCAAAAGGCACCAGGATTATTTTTGTCAATGGTATTGTCAATTTGAATTGAGTTTTTTGGTTAGGATTCCATGAAATTTATTTTCTTAATTGAAAAAAAAAATGAAGTTTAATTTTTCTACATGTACTGATTAAAACAGAATTTGGGGTTGTGTGGGTATGTAGGAACCTTGTCTATGAAATTCTGTAATTGAGTTTTTCATCATAGGTAATTCACCTATTTTATGTTATCTTTCTATTGAGATTGTTTTAGTCATCATTTGTAATTTCTTTTTTGATAGGCTCCATAGACCCCTGGCACTTCCTGAGTGTCCTGAAGTCAGACCAAGTCTCTGGAGAAGTTGCTGTCTACATCAATGGAACGGCCCACTGTGCTGACATGTCAACTCATAAATCCACCGATCCTGAGTCTCTCAAGGAGGCCAGGCTTGTAAGTCGGTTTTATATCATTCATTAAAAAACATATCGTCTGGATATAGATCTATTTAAAAAGCTGTAAAAGGCAAATGTCAAATGTGCACATATGACTTTCTCATCAGAAAGTATTTAATCATAAAATTAATGTGGTTGTTAAGTAAGTCTGATCAAAAAGAAAAAAAAAATCATACACAATAAGTACCTCGCTATGATCTCAGGAGATCAAGAGTTGCACAATAAGTACATTTGTAAGATCTCAGGTACAATTTTACATTATTGCATACTTATGTTCAAGAAAGTATTGTGACATAGTTTTGAGGCCACGAATATTTTTGACATTAGTACAATGTACCTTTAAGAACAATCAGCTCAGGCAAGCATTGTGGCATTTGGGCCTTATATGATGTCTGATATAAATTTATATACATACTTCAATGTTTTGTCATTTCTTTTTAGATGATACAGAAAGAGATTGAATCTTGGCTGAAAGAATCTTAAAGGATGTTCTGTTTTCTGAATTGTCTTTCTGACAGTCCCATCGAATCCTTTCTGTGCCAATTATTAATGTCTGCTCTTAAAAATGTATTTTAATCTTCAGTAACTACATGTAAAATGTCTTTAATATTGAATACCTAGAGAAATGTTGAAGTGAACATCACAGAAAATACATCTGTGTGTAAACTGTGTAACATATTTAAAAATGTTAACAATATACAAATTGAGACAGAGATAGATATCTCATTTAAGATTTTGTTTGTGATAGTCCTCAGTGGGGACAGATATTCCAATATGAAATATTTTTTTTAGCATGTGTAGATTATATGAAAAACATTGGGAAAATATGTATACAATTAAAAATTTTATGAGATGTTGGTACATATTTTTTATATCCTTTACAGGTATTGATATGTTATCTCAATGTACTTTTTTCTATATTTGCATTTTTGCTATATATTTTTAAAATGTTTATATATATTATAATGCATGTACAGCACACTTACGTTTACACTGAAAGACCCACCATGCTGCTCAATCAATCCACAATACCTTTTTAAGAAGTGGTATTATCGTTTTACTAACAGCGTGACAGTTTGCTTGATAGGGCTTGCTAAAATTTCGTATGCCTGATTATCATTTTACTCATCGATTGGATGTTTGATTTCAATGGAATCAATAATACTTTGCATATGAAACCCAAAACAAAGCACTACCACTGACAATACTGACCAACCGCATCGAATAAACAACAATAACACGTGAACAGACAAAGCAAGTTTTACTTCCTATAATGATGATATTGATAGAACTACGAACATAGTACAACAGAAGCAGAGTAGCTTTACTAATTCCATTCTTTATAAATTTTCTTATACGTATTTAAAAACCCATCCGGTCAAATCACAACAAATATAATGCATGCTTTTTTGAGGACAGAAAACGGGCTTTGACTGAGCATGTGTTGCTGCTCACTACAAATGCTGTACTGGTAAACAATCATTCAATGTGATTGGTCAGTATTATCAGGCTATTGTTGAATTCCGAGTTTCATATGCAAATTAGTATTGATTTCATTGATCCAATCGATGAGCAAAACGATAACCAGCACACAAAATTTTAGCACGCCCCATCAAGCAAACTGTCATGCTGTTTGTAAAATGATAATAATTGTACTTACAAATATTAATGTATGTTGTTTGATTAATAAATAAGTAACATTAATCATTATTGGCAAGGGGATTACTTCCTCAAAACTGGTGGAATTTCTGTTGAAAGAAAAATATGCAGGATTTGCTAACATTTATGAAATACTTGACCTAACATGCAAATTGTTTCTTAGTCTACAGTGTGCAGATTTCAAGTTACTGTGAAATCACTAATTTTCATTTGGGTTTAATTTCATTGCTTTTGAGGTATGTAGAGACCCACGAAGTTATGTCTACCACTGAATGTAAAATTTCACATGAGCAACTTATAAAAAATTCTTTATCCACAAAATGAAAGGCCGATGAACCAACATTTTTTCCTCAAACCATGAAAATTTGAACCCATAAAATATGTGATTTTACAGTATAAAAATTGCAAGTATAGTAACATTCCAAATCAACTTTCTTTCTGGCAAATATTCAGTGTTGATTAAATTCTTATCTTGAAAATAAAATCTTATTTTTTTTTCTCATTGTTGTCTTCTTTTTACATTTGATCATGAGAGCCATGATAAGTAAAAGTGCTTGAAGGGGAAAATCTCCTTGTCCAAGACCATACACATCTGATGGGGGGGGGGGGGGTTGCAAAGATGAACCTTTTTTGTTTGTACATTAGTTTAACTAATATCCTGTAGGATGAAGGCAAAGATGCTAGAATAACATCTTGATTGCTCCTTAAATAAATCTATTATTCAAAGAAAATGATGAACAATATATATTCTATTAAGACTGTATTTTGAACTAGTGTAGAAAAGGAGTATAGAATGTTTGAACGAGTGTGGCTTACAGGGTTAAATCCCAAAATTTTCACCTCCAATAGGACATAATTCTCAATCACAAATATAACGTGTACTGTAAATCACTTTTTATTAGCTCACCTGAGCCGAAAGCTCAAGTGAGCTTTTCTGATCACATTTTGTCCGTCGTCCGTCCGTCTGTAAACTTTTCACATTTTTCTGAAGAACCAATGGGCCAATTTTAACCACACTTGGTACAAAGCATCCTTGGGTGAAGGAGAGTTTAAATTATTAAAATGAAGGGCCAAGCCCCCTTACAAGGGGAGATAATCAAGAAAAGACAAAAATAGGGTGGGGTCACTAAAAAATCTTCTTCTCAAGAACCACTGGACCAGGATTTAAGCTGAAACTTATGTGGAAGCATCCTTGGGTAGTGTAGAAATCATGACCCCCGGGGGTAGGGTGGGGCCACAATAGGGAACCCAAATTATACATAGAAATATATAGAACAAATCTTTAAAAATCTTCTTCTCAAGAACCACTGGGCGAGGAAAGCTGAAACTTATGTGGAAGCATCCTTGGGTAGTGTAGATATTAAATTGTTAAATCATGACCCCCTTGAGTAGGGGTGGGGCCATAATAGAGAACCCAAATTTTACGTAGAAATATACAGAACAAATCTTTAAAAATCTTCTTCTCAAGAACCATGGCCACTGGGCCAGGAAAGCTGAAACTTATGTGGAAGCATCCTTGGGTAGTGCAGATATTAAATTGTTAAAATCATGACCCCCGGGGGTAGGGCAGGGCCACGATAGGGAATCCGTGTTTTACATAGAAATATATAAAACAAATCTTTAAAAATCTTCTTCTCAAGAATCACTGGGCCAGGAAAGCTTAAACTTATATGGAAGCATCCTGGGGTAGTGTAGATTCTAAAGTTTTAAAATCATAAAAGGGAAGGGGGTAGTGGGGCATGATAGATATAGCATGAGGGGGAATCTGGTAAAGAACTGCATCACCCAAGTTACTCAGGTGAGCGATGTGGCCTCTTCCTCAATTTCCTGCCTGTAAATATTGGTTCCATAAATGGCTTATCACGGTTCTGGGGAACATGGAGTATTTCTGCAATGTGCATTGTGTTTTGCAATCTTCCAACACTTCCTTGCATTTGTCCAAGCTTACGTCTTATCACCAGTTCTAGCCAGAAATACTGAAACTTTCTTATATTTCACTAAACAAAACCCTCTTTGATACTTCTATGCTCCCATTGTTCCACTTACTTTTTTAAGTCCATTCAACAATACAAAATAGGAGCAGAGCAAACATGAACCTCCAAAACATCAGGGGGATCAGGTGCAAAAATACTCCACATGTGTTTTTTAGGTCACCTGAGTCACTCAGGTGACCTATTGCTATCCGTTTTCGTCCGTCGTCGTCCGTCGTGCATCGTGTGTCGTGTATTAACATTTGAACATTTTCAGCTTCTTCTCTGAAACCACTGAACCAATTTCAACCAAATTTGGTATACAGCATTTATGGGTAAAGGGGAACATAAATTGTGAATTTCATGGTCCTTGCCCCCCTGGGGCCTGAGGGGTGGTGCCAAAACCACTAAAATTAATGAAATCTTTAAAAATCTTCTTCTTTACTCCTGAACATCAAGCAGACAAACTGTTGTTATGAATGTAATGAGCATCGAGTCCTCTACATAAATTGTGAAATTCATGGCTCCAGGGTCAGGGGTTCTAGTACTAGGGAGGGGCTATATAGATTATATAGTGAAAATGCATTATTTCTTTGAAAATCTGCTTCTCTGCTCCTGGGTATTAAATAAACTAACAAAGTACATATTATGATGAGTTGTGAATTTTATGACCCCAGGGTCAGGGGTTCTGGTGTTTAAGGGCGGGGCTCCATTGATTATATAGTGAAAATGCATCAATTCTTTGAAAATCTTCTTCTCTGCTCCTGGGTATTAGATAAACTAACTAAGTACATAGTTATGATGAGCAAGAGTGCCTCTTCCAAAATTGAGAATTTTATGGCCCCTGGGGGTCAGGGGTTCTGGTGTTAGGGCAGGGCTCTATTGATCAATAGTGAAAATGCATTAATTCTTTCAAAATCTTCTTCTCTGCTCCTTGGTATTAAATAAACTAAGTAAGTACATAGTTATGATGAGCAAGAGTGCCTCTTCCAAAATTGAGAATTTTGTGGCCCCAGGGTCAGGGTTCTGGGGCCCGTTTTACAAAAGGACTAACGACTTAAGACAAGTTTAATTATTCATATAACTTTTTAATTAACATTATATCGAAAATTATTTTAAACTCTTTGAAAAGAATGTGGTAAGATATTTTTACACTGACAATTTAAAAGATAATTATAAATTTTGCAAAATTTTACAATAATCTGAAGTTTTTGGTCTTAGTCGTAAGTTCTTTTGTAAAACGGGCCCCTGGTGTTAAGGTGGGGCTCTATTGATTATATAGTGAAAATGCATTAATTCTTTCAAAATCTTCTTCTCTGCTCCTGGGTATTAAATAAACTAACTTAGTATAAATTTATAATGCCTCAACCAAATTGGTGAATTTCATGTCAGGGTTTTTGCCATTTGGTAGGTATTGCTTCATTGTGTTCATATTTATATTTTCTGTGTTATAAATTGATTCAAATAGCTCTGTGTTCATAAAGGAGATTTGAATAAGTTTTAAATCATTTGTAAATGTGGTCTAATAGGGCATTTGATGAAAGTGAATAGGCACTAAATAAATTCATCTAGTGATGCTCAATTTCCTGAGCTTCTGTTTAAATGATCATTTTCAGACAGCTCCTATTTGAAAACACTATTTTTGAAGTCGCAACAATGCCTGTTGATTTTGAAATCTATCATTTTGTTTATTTTCTTTTTATATAATATTTCATGTTGATGAACACTGCTGGATCTTATAAAATGAACATTACTATATTTTTCAAGAAAATGTTGTACTATTTGCTCAACAAGGGTTCTTATAAAATTTTCTAGAACATAATTTCCTGATTTTATCTTTAACCTCTGATCTTAATTTTACAACCACATATTGATATTTTTTATTTAGTTGCACCTTTTCCTACAATATTTGGTAGAGGACTCTCCTACAAATATTTTTGCATCTAGAGGTCACTGATAGCAAGTTCTTAAGTTTTGGAATTTTGTTAATTTTTTAGGGGGTTTCTATAACAATGAAATAATACTCTTCAAAATTGCTTCCTAAAATACATGGACTAATAAGGTGCTTTTTGTGATTGTGCAAATTACACTTAGATGAAAAGTCAGTTTTGACTTATGGTACAAGTCAAACTTTTTATCTAGTTATTTTTTCCCATTTACTTACAGTAACCATAGTGTCTCTATTCCTTTAAGTCCTTCCTACCTAC